AGGCCAGGATGGGAAAGCAGGACAAGTTCGCTTTTCTGGTGGTGGAGCGTCGAGATTAAAAGAAAAGTTTCGGCTTCGAGGGGATCCTGGCCCAACTGGACGGCGTCTACGGTTCAACGCCGACTGGTCTTAATAATATCAAGAGAGAATGAAAGGATTGGAATCGATTCCTTGCCAGTTCTTCCATAAAGTCCGACTTCTCCTCAGCCTTTTTGGTATTCGGGACAATCGAATAATAATTTGACTACTAATCTGTCGGTTTCTCTCCTGAGAATTTCCACGGGGAGGAATACACTACTTACTACTCGATACATCCCACGACTCGCCATTTACCGTATTGTATGACAGGTCTGGTACAGGCCTCTTTCAATTACCACAGCAGTCATCAGTCATTGCTACTATTTATTCTTCACTTTTTCCCCCAGGGTGTCCGATCTGTATCTGTCGGTCTGGTCAGATAAGTAACAACTGGACATGACACCGCGGCAGAGAACAATTGATTTCATGTGGTCAATTGACACACATACACACTCAACTTACACTCACCCGACATTTCGCCATACTTACTTACCACCATTGAACACGAACAGTCTAGATACTAGTCGTAGTAAGTAAGTACTCTATTATTACTACCTACGAAAATCACCTGTCAAATCAACGAACCATCCCGATCACCGTGTACCCCCAGAGCCAATGATAAAACATCTCAACCCCCATTGAATCGTGCCTCTGGAATGCCGGAACTCACCCCTCCTTCTCCTCCCTTCCTGAAACAATATAAATAGTAATAGTACCGAATCACAAGTGACAGACACTGACAGTAAAGTGTGTATGTGTGGAATGTCCGGAGTGAAACCCGTACTTTTTTGTTCTGACGGTATCTCCGACCCGACGCCCGCCGCCAAAAGGGAAGCTCGACTTCAAGGCTGATCCATTCCCATTAACCTTAAACCCTGGATATATTCTCCCCCAGGCAGCAGGTTCAAGAGCAGCAGCCATGAGGATGTTGACATGGAGAGGAGTAGCGTGGATATAATAGTACAAATTACCTAATTTACGGAGTCTATTTGTCTAATGAACTATCTATCCATGTGCGTGGGTGCGTGCCCAGATACTAAATGGCCGTGCCAGGTTTGGGGGTGGGAGGAGGCGGGCAAAGGAATGTCAAAGCAAAGTCAATTGAATGGATTATTCGATCTGTTCCACACCAAAGCATAAGGAAAAAGTGAGAGGAGAGGGAAAAAAAAAAAAAAAAAAAAAAAAAACGCGAGTTTTCCGTGGAGGTGCCTGTGGGTAGTGACCAATGATAGGAGTGGATGGGGAAGGGAAGGGCCCACTATCCGCCAGACTTCGCATCCGAAAGATTGAAGTTGCTGGGCGAGGGATTCCGTGATTGAGTCTGACTGGATTAATTACCACAGGTCTAAGGGAACTTCATGGGAATGAAAGTGAAGGAGTTCTGGTTCTTTGATGTGTCTTGTAGTTAATATCACCGAGATACCAAATAACCAATCAGTTGAAGAGACGGTTCTACTCTACTGACTCATCCAGGGAAGATGTTCAGTTCTCGACCGATAGACCAGGCTTACCTACAGTACTAAGAGTACTTCCCGGCTGCGACATTTTTCCTCCCCAAATCCCGACAGAACTTATCACCACGCGCCATCCATATCAGGCCATGACAGTCATCCCAACTCATCCCAGTCTAAAACTGCCACTAGCGCCGCTCCAGTAAGCTACCGCCTGGTCCACGTTCCAGATCACACGATTCCCTTTTCCCCCCCAGTCACAAGTAAGCCAGCCATGGGCCAGGCTGACGCTTCCCGTACAATCTCCGCAGAATAGCCCACCAACCACATGTAGCAAATATCATCATGAGATTAAGTGTGTCAACCAACTAGAAACATCATGTACACTCGTAACCAAACACCTAACTACACGGCCCGTCCCATGTCAAGCCAATCCCATCCCAACGCACCCGGTGAACCATCCTCAAACGCCATTCCCAATCATATGTCCAACTATCTACGGATTTACTCGTCATCCTGACCCTCCGACTTGACAATCGTGGTCCGGCTATCGTCGTTTTCATCTTCTTCCTCGATGATACTTGGCTCCAGGGAGAAGCCCCGGCGCATGGTCCCCGGCTCAATGGACGGCCGCACGCTGCCAGACCGGACGCTCATGTTCGACCGCACACTCATGACATCGCTGTCGCCTTCTTCCATGCCTTCGCGGGCTCGCCCACTGGCCGGGCGTCCTCCATGAGCCGCGGCTAGAAGCTTGAGAACCGCATTCTTGACCTTGACGAGCGCGTTTCGCCCGGCAGCCTCGGCAGCCAGGCCTTCCTCGATTGTCTCATCCAGCAACTCCTTCACCTCCTGCGCCAGCTCCTTATTTTCCGGTGTGATTTCCGCCTGCGCACTGCGAACGCTGGAACTGAACGGATCCTCGCCTTCAGGAGCCCGGGACCCGGACCGCGAGGGAACGACAGGAGGAGCAATATAGAGCTTGCTCATAAGCGAGAAGAGCAGCTTCTTCTCTTCCTTGGAGCAACGGTTGGTGCCCGTGCTGATTCCTAGGACCCGCTCGAGGATATCCTTGACCAAGGCAAGGTGGACGAACCCGCAAGCATTGGCGTTGGCCGGACAACCCGCAAGGATCCTCTCCCCGCCCAGTCCGACGACCCGCCGCTCATCAGTCCACTCAGCCAGCATACCCACCACGCCAGTCATCAGTGCCTTCAGCTCTCGCTGACCAACCGTCTCATCGATATCACCATCGCTGTCTTCCTCGGCCTCAAGCGAGTAGAACTCTTCGGCGGCATTGAGAGTGGCCCGAATGACGGGAACCGCGACCTTTCGCATGTGCTGCGTGTTGTCCAGTCGCGAATGGCAATACACCGGGAAGAAGTACGCCAAGGCCTGTCTCAGCGCAGGGTTGTCCCGAGTACGAGGATGGAAGAAGGAAAGGATGAGTGACTGCAGGAGGGTCTCAACGGCAGTCTGGTTATATTCATGAATGGCCTGGGGGATGTTTGATCCCGCTGGTGTGAACGTATTCGTGAGCAACAACTTCGAGAGGGCGGTGGCGGCAGCTGTTTGCACGCTGTTAGGCGAGCTGGACTTCAGCGCCCGAGCAAAGACTTTCAACAGTGGCTTCTGGAAAACCGGCGGGGCCACGGTCTCGCCATCGGATTGTTCCACAGGCACAAGCAACGTGGGATGCGTTGTCAGCATATCACACAAGATGTGGATGGCAGTCACCTGCAAGGCCTCGTGGCCCTTGCTGAAGCAGTGGATGAAGAGGGTCATGTTCTCCTCAGCCAAGTTCTGTAAAACGTCAGTAGGACATCGCAAGCAGTTCATAGAGCAGTTCGTACCTTATCGAGTAGACAGCAAAGACCCAGACACTCGAGACCCCGCTCACGGATGGGGGCCTCGTGACTCCGAACGGCAGGCACGACGAGGTTGTTAAGCATAGTCACTAAGTTCATGTTGGCCTGGAGGTTGCCCTCGACATTCTGCAGCATGCACTGCGCAATGTGCAGACATTTCATGTTGACCATGATCTCCTTCAGGACCTTCGCTTTAGCCTCCTCTTTGTTGAATGGCTTCTCTTCCTCGGACTGAGGAGTCTCGGAACGGTGGCGGGTGGAGCTGGCATCACTAATTTCGGACCTTGCAGACACAAAGCTGTCCTCGGTCACAATGGTGTCGTGTACTTCAGCAATCGCCTCCAGGACAACGCTACAGAATTCGTTCTCGGCCGCGGCATTAGGACCGCAAACACATCGCAGGGTCTCGACCGCAAGCTTGGTGCACTCCTGAGGGAGTTCTGGAACGGCAAGCGACTCACGCAGTAGGGAGAACATCTTGCGCCGTCCAACTTCATCACTGTAATCCAGAGTCATGGAAATATGCAGCAGCTGTTCCACCACAAATTCTTGCTCCACAGAGTCGTCATCATTGGCATCACCGGTCTCTTTGGCGATCTTCTTCCGCTGCAACAGGTCGGTCATGTACTTGTGTAGGTAAAACGCGAGGGCTGTGACTTCGGGCATCTTCTCGTCTGCAAGTTTGTCGTACTTCCCTTCATGCTCAACGCGGCAAAAGTCGCTGAAAGACCGGATCATAAAGGCCGATTCTGCGGTAAGGTTCTCCCAGAAAGGCTCGTCGAAAACGACCGCCTCCCGATAGTCCGGGCGGCCTTCCCAGAAGCTACGCATGGCTTCATGTGCAATTCCAGACTCTACTCCGGAGTTGACAACATCAATTCTCTCGAGGAGCTCGAGAAGCCCGTTGAAGTTCGGTGGGGAGCGTTGGCCAGTAGGGCCGGCTTCAGGGTCGTTGTTGGTTCCAGCGCAGTCTTCAATCCAGCGGTCGTAGAACAATTTACCCGTGGCCTTGCGAACGCTCTCGTCTCGATCACGCAGACCCCATCGAAGAAGCTTCTCTCGCATAGACAGCGACAAATGTCGGAAGTCACCCAGGGTGGGGAGAAGGCGCGAGTACAAGGCACGTCGAGTGGCCGCATCGAGATCGCGGGCTCGTTCCAGGAGATATTTTAGGGTGCCCGGCACCAGAGGGAGGTTGATAAGCAGGGTCTTTCGTACATCGGCACTTGTATCATTCTGCATAATATCGATGAGTCGCTCGAGAACAGCCTTGCTGTCATCGTCATCTTCGTCGTCGTTGCCTGCGAGACGTCCAAGTCCCATGACAGCCTGCACTCTTACGGCAGGCTCTTTGTCTCGAATGCGCTTCACAAGACCGCCGCGGATGGCGTGATATTGGTCATCGTCTATCGTTTCGAGGGAGTTGACAATGTGGGCGATGATTTGAGTGGCGCGAAAGCGGACCGTTTTGTCCTTGGTTGCTAACAGGGGAACGATTATGTTGATCAGACTGGTCGTGAGGCGGGAAGTTGGTGTCTCAGGCGAATTCTGCATATCTTCATCGTCGTCATCGGCAGCATATAGCTCTGCATCCTTCTCGGAAGCTAATGCCAGGAATGCGCCGAGAAAGCGTAGGATCCGGTCGCCGACCGGCTCTGATTTCTTGATAGGAAGAATGCGAAGGACGCAGCGTCCGACCTCTGTGTTGAATTCCGTCTCGGGCAGAGTCTCTTCCATGGGAAGCGACCACTCTGCTTTGGGTTTGCTGCCATCCTTCTTGGAGCTTTTCTGGGTTATGCCGCAGCAAGCTTCTTGGAGCTTCCTCAGTCGGACAACGAGTTTCCGATGTCCGGTTGTCGAACGCTGCGCATCGGCGAAAATAGAGCATACATCGCGGCGCAAGGTGGGAATAGCCTCTGGAAGAGACGGCTCCTCGGGAATAGTGAAAGACGGGGTCACTGAGCCTGCGCGCGAGGGCTGAGCGGAGGTCTTGCGCGTGGCGGTGGATGTTGAACGGGCGGATCGGCCAGGCATGGTGGCTCAATGGCGGGGTAGACGTCTCGTCTCAGACAGTTCAGTAAGGGGTCGGCAGTCAGTAGTTGTCATAAATCATCCTAAATCGGTTGCATCGATATATCCGGGCGCGTCGTTCGTCCAAGGCGTGTCTGGCGTGTACAAGAGTTCGATGTGTTCAGGAGAAAGACTGATGCTGTTCCGATCCAAACATTGCGGAGGCTGTCACGGGGCTGGATAAACAAACAGCCCAAACGGGAAGGCTGATAAGGGCTAGGGCTGCACGTGGTTCAATCTACAGAAGAATTACTAGGCTGTACTCCATGCAGTTCACACTGGATGTGATGTCATTGCACTGAAATGTTCACAAGGCTTAGTCTAACATTACGCTTTTCACGAATATCAACATAACAGAACAATACATTACAGATCCCAGTGTCAGCTCCATTATGGAACCTCCAGTAGAGGCAGTGACAGCAATCACGCCATCGACCACGTGACGTAGCTTACTAACACCGATCATCGGCATGCGGTGATCTGGGGAATCGCCGCGTTCTTCCCTCAGTATCCAGGCGTTCTGGGTTTGACA